GCAAACTCTGGGCCTTGGTGACTTCCCTGGCAAAGTCTACCAAATACTCAAGGAAGAATTAAGTCTTTCTTAGACCAACTTCTCCAGAAAATAGAAAATGAGAAACACTCTCTCAAAACCAAAACCCAGCAGCCCCCAAATGGGAAAACACACGTCCCGCTCACTCATGAACATGGGATGCAAAATCTAAACAAAATATTATTAGCCAACGGAGCCCCCCCAGAATTCTCTCTGTCCAAGGCACCAGGCATTGAGAGCAGGATCTAGGAAAGGTACCTGTACACCCCTGCGGATAGCAGCGTTATCCACAATGCTCAAAAGATGGCCAAAAGGCCATCGACAGATGAATGGATAAACACAGTGTGGTGTATCCAGACAGCGGCGTGTTATTCGGTCTTAAAAAGGAAGGAAACTCTGACACGTGCTACAACACGGATGAAACTCCAGGATGTTATGCTCCGTGGAAGGGGTCAGCTCCAAAAGGACAAATATTGTATGGTCCCCTTACAGGAGATCCCTAGAGTCATCAAAATCATAGAGGCAGAAAGTTGAACGGCGGTTGCCACGGATTGGGGGAGAGGCCAATGGAGAGGTGTTTAACGGGAACAGAGTTTCAGTTTTGCGGGATTAAAAAGTCTGGGAGGCCAGCTGCATACCAGTGTGAGTCTGCTGGACACTTAGTCAACTGTACCTCGGACGGTTCAGATGACACGTTTTATGTTATGTATATTTTACCACAATTCAACGCTGTAAAATAAATACGCGGAATCCCTAAAAATGGGTAATTTACAGTAGCACAAAACACATGAAGTACCTGAAACAGATACAAACACCCCACGTGCTAGATCTAGACAGAGAAAATTATAAAACCACGTGGAGAAACTTCAAACAAGCGGAATGCTTTCCTATATCCTCTGATTGGAAGGCTCCGCGTTTTCAGATGTCACTTCTCCCCCCACCCCAGATAAACGTACCGATTCAATGTGCTCGTAATCAAAATCCCAGTAGGAGTTGATATTCTGTAGAATTTGACGATCGGACGCTACCATTTCCGAAAGCACAAAGCAACCCTTGAACCGCACATTGTGTGCCGCATGCTTTTTACATGGTAACTTTTTTCCTCCTCCTGGAAACCCCACGAGGCAGGTCTACATTATTTCTATTTTTGAGAAGAAACTTCAGGGCATTTGCTCTGCTGCTGCTGCTGCTTCTTCTTCTTCTTCTTCTTTAGTTTTATTTATTTATTTTGAGGGCGAGAGAGTGGGGAAAGGGCAGAGAGAGAGGGAGAGAAAGAATCCCAAGCAGGCTCCGCGCTGTCAGCAAAGAACCCGACGTGGGGCTCGATCTCACGTACGTGAGCTGAAATCGATGCTTAACCAACTGAGCCACCCAGGAGCTCAAAGCACGCGCTCTTAACTACTTCTCTATGGTGTCTCTAAGAACAGTCATGATACCCTTGGGGACGGACAAGGTGGGAGGCCTTGCTCTTCCAGATACCGGGAAAGTTGAACAACGGGAAAGTCAGGGCATGGGCACAGGGACCCAGCCCACGGAACAGAACACAGAAACAACCCAGCAAGGACCTCCGAGCCACCTCTGTGGAAGCATGCCTGCAGAAATGGAGGGAAAGACGGGCTTCTTCACAGGTGAGGCTGGGGAAACTGGTTGTTCATGTGGGAAACATGAAATTGGGTCTCCCCTGATACAAAACCCAGTTCCAGGTTGATAAAGCCCTAAACGTGAAAGGCAGATCTTGAGAGATCTCTGAGCTGACAAGAAAATCGCTCCCTGCCTCAAGGTTAAGGAAGGGTTCTTCTTTTTTTTTTTTTTTTTAATTTTCTTTAACATTTATTTATTTTTGAGACAGAGAGAGAGCATGAACAGGGCAGGGTCAGAGAAAGAGGGAGACACAGAATCCGAAACAGGCTCCAGGCTCTGAGCTGTCAGCACAGAGCCGGACGCGGGGCTCGAACCCACGGACCGCGAGATCGTGACCTGAGCCGAAGTCGGACGCTCAACCGACTGAGCCACCCAGGCGCCCCAAGGAAGGGTTCTTGAACAGACATAAAAAGCACTAGCCATAAAAAGAAAAACATTTATAAATTCTACCACATTACGAACATCCATTCATCAGGGGCACCAGGGTGGCTCAGTTAAGTATCCAACTCTTGATTTGGGCTCAGGTCATGATCTCGTGGTTTGTGAGTTTGAGTCCTGCATAGGGCTCAGCCCTGGCTGCTCAGATTCTGCTTGAAATTCTCTCTCTCTCTCTCTCTCTCTCTCTCTCTCTCTCAGCCCCTCCGCTGCTCATGCTCTTCCTCTCTCTCTCAAAATAAATAAACTTAAAAAAAAATCCATTCATCAACAAAACGCTGTAAAGAGAACGAAAGGTCAAGCCACAGAGTGGGAGAAAAGATTTCAAATCTATATACAAGATTTCACATCTATATCCCCATCAAAGGACTAGTTTTTAGGATATAAATATCACTGGGACACCTAGGTGGCTCAGTCGGTTGAGTGTCCCACTCTTGATTTTGGCTCAGGTCATGATCCCAGGGTCACGGGATCGAGCCCCGCCATCAGGCTCCACTGAGTGTGGAGCCTGCGATTCTTTCTCTTTCCTTTTGCCCGTCTCCCCTGCTCATGTTCTCTCTCTAAAATAAATCATTAAGAAGCTTCTTAACCCCTCAGGGATGTGGGTTTGAGTCCCACATTGGGAGTAGAGATTACTTAAAAATAGGTAGATAGATACATACATACATAGAAGCCTCTTAACCCCCAAATCCCACAACCCCATTTTACCAAAAATAGGCAAAACATCTGAACAGGAACTTTACAAAAGAGGAACGCAAACAACCTCTAAACATATACAAACGTGTTCAATCTCCGCAGTAAATCAGGAAAATGAAAATTCAGGCCACATGGAGACACCACCTTTCACCACCCCCCCCATTTGTAAAGATAAAAACGTTTGATAACAACCAAACATAAACAAGAATGCAGAGCAACAGAAACTCCCAAACATGGCTTAATGAGAGAGAAAACAGAAACCACACTTTGAAAAAAAGAGTTGGTCCGAATCTATGAGCCGAAGCCATGCATTTTCTGACAGGTGGAGACATGTACAGTCGTGGGTCAGAAATCAGGTCCGGAGGTGTTCACTGCAGGACTCCTCCCCAGAGGTCCAAAGTGGAAACAACCGAAATGTTGATGGAAGGTACTGGGAGAAGCAAACTGGACATCGCCGTCCAGGGCAGTCCCCCACGGCAATGGAAATGAATGCAACACAGCTTCGCCCAGTAGCGGGGGCCACGCTGACAAAATGCGGCATGGACGGAGGGAAGCGAGAACATAAAATGCGTCCGTCCAAGCCCAGAGACAGGCAAGACCGAAACCACGCTGTTCAGGGCTGCAGTCACAGGCGGTGAAATTGTACAGGAAATCCACATGACCGCAGTCAAGAGGACAGCGCCCCCAGGCGGCAGGGCAGGGGTTGTGATGGGGCTGGGGACGTGCTCAAAGGGCTTTTGGACTTGGCTGGTGGTTACGTGGGTGTTTGCTTTGTAATTATTCACTGAACTGGTTTATGTACTTTTCTAAATGTTCTATTTCACCATAAGAAAAAAGAGCAAAAATGTCTAGGATAAAATATATAAAAATGTTTTAAAAAGTTATCTTTGGGGAGTCTGAGTGGCTTAGTCAGTTAAGCGTCTGACTTCAGCTCAGGTTGTGATCTCACGGTTTGTGAGTTCGAGCCCCGCGTCCGGCTCTGTACTGACAGCTCAGAGCCTGGAGCCTGCTTCGGATTCTGTGTCTCCCTCTCTCTCTGCCCCTCCCCTGCTCATGCTCTGTCTCTCTCTGTCTCAAAAATAAATAAAAACATTAAAAAAATTCTTTTTTAAAAACCAGTTATCTTTAAGGGGCACCTGGGTGGCTCAGTCGGTTAACTGCCTGACTCTTGGCTTTGGCTCAGGTCATGATCTCACAGTTGGTGAGATGGAGCCCCGCATTGGGCTCCGCGCTGACAGCACAGAGCCTGCCTGGGATTCTCTCTCTCCCTCTCTCTCTCTGCCCCTCCTCTGCTCTGTCTCTCAAACTAAGATTTAAAATAAATAAGTAAGTAAGTAAGTAAGTAAGTAAGTAAATAAATAAATAAATAAATAAATAAAATAAAAACAAAAACAGTTATCTTTTGGGTTTTACTACGTGGATGAGATTTTCCTCCTTCTTACTTTCGGTATTTGCCAGATTTTGTTAAAAGACTAGGCATTATTCTTAAATGGAAAAAAAGAAAAAGAAAAAAGAAAAAAAGCTTTATTATGAAAAGAAATCCTTCCTAAATTTCTAGGGCCTTGCTGATATGTTACTTCCTCCAGGAAGCCCCCGTGACCACCTTGCCCGCAGGCCCTCAGTTCGTTTTCTCTCTCTCTCTCTCTCTCTCTCTCTCTCTCTCTCTCTCTCTCTGACAGTCAGCTCATGAACACTTCTCAATGCCCTGCTCTGGGGCAGGCACTGTGCCAGATGCTGGGGGTGCAGAAGAAACACACGGCCATCTTTCTGCCTCAGGGAGCTCTAGCCTGGGGAGATAGGCAAGAAACCGACGAGAAAGTAATCCTGGGGTGGGGAGTATTACAAAGAAATAGCTGTGCTGCCGGCTCTTCTGGAACTTCGCAAGCACAGGCAGCCCTGCGTGGCTGTCACTTTTCAGGTCAGTTACCTCCCAACCAGCCTGCAAATGGCGCACCAGCCTTTCCACCCGGTGGTTGCACCTTTCACCCCCCGACCGCGCACATGCGATGCCTGCTCGGCAAAAAGGTCCTGAGTGTATGGTGGACCAGACGCAACCCCCTCGGACCTGGGGCGAGGGTGTCAGCAATGTCCTCCAGAAGCCCCCGGTTCACTTGGGAAGAAGCGTCTCGCCTCCCCGGCCCCGCGGGGGAACAGCCGAAGGGCTGCCTAGCCGGGGCCACGGCCACAGTGCTCCCGCTGAGGAGCCTTACTTGGGCTTCTTGACGTCGGTCATCTTGGTGTGCTCCCCAAACTCGCGCTTCAGGAACTCCTCCAGGGGCCCCGACTCGTAGGGCCGCGAGCCTCGGAACACCTCATCCTTCATGCGAAAGTACACGCTCCGCATGTAGGCCATGGACTTGCCTAGAACAAGATCGGGGAGACACGAGGGCCACACCCTGACAGCCGCAGGACCACGGTGGCCGGCAGGGGATGGCAGGAGGGGACCGGACTGACTCAGGCACTACCCAGGCTTGGGCTCCTGGGCCTCTCCTGGGAAACTTCCCGCAGAGGCAGACATCTCCTTCAACAGCCCCGCGGCTCTGGGCCTAATTCTGTGTTCCCAACTTTGTATTATTTTCCTTAGAGAGGGCCCCGAGAGTGTAAGGGCTTGTAAATTGAATCTAGAACCACCTCATGTGGCTCGGAACAGAAGGGCCAGCCCTGTCCCGCGGGCCTCTGAGGACAGCCAAAAGGAGCAGGCCGCACCTGGGCTGTGCGCACAGAGGGGGCTGCGGAGAGGAGGGGGGTCTGCCCGTATGAGACTTCTCAAATCCCTCCCATAGCCCCTGGGAGTCTAAAGAAGGAAGTGACCCTTTCTGGAGGAGGCCAGAACCTCCGCCGCGGACCTCCTGCCCCGCCGAGCAGAGGCAGATCCGAGACAGCTTTGCTCTCATGGAAGGCAGAACTGGAGACCAGAGAGGGGATGTGGGCCCCCTGACGCTAGCAGTTTACTGACTGATAATCCTCCTCGTCCCGGAGGAGCTCGATGGGACGCTGCTCTCAGCCACCGGCTGAGCAGGCTGCCCCATGTCCCTGACACTCTGAACTGCTGGCCCGCGGCCTCTTCACACAGTGAATACCCAGGTACCTGCGGTTCCCCCAGGGGACTGGGGCTCCCTGAGCTGGAGCCTGCACCTGACCCACAGGCCCTGCCTGGGGGCAAGAAGGTCCTCTCCTGGTGCCTTCAAGACATGGGCGGTGGGGGGGGTGCCTGGAGAGCCTGGAATCCGCCAGGCACTGGGGCAAGGCTGTCAGGTTAGGGATGCCAAGGCAGAGGACAATTGCCTGGGTGGTTGCTGGCTCTGGGAGGGCCCCCCACAGGCAGCCCAGCTTGAGTGGAGACAAGAACTACCCAGAAGCCTGTCTGGTATGCAGGGCGCTGCAGTGCAAGGCCCTGTGGCCTTGGGAAGTGCTGGGCTGAGAGTCTAGGGAACCGTCCTAGCCCCAGTAACCCCATGGGTGGGCTATGTGACTTTGAGTCACCTCTCCCACCGGGGCCTCAACGTCTCGGGGGGTAAAATGAGACGTGCAGGCCGGGGCTCCGGCATTCTGTGGCCCTGTGGCTCCTCCTCCCTGAGACCATCCACCATCAGGATGGTTTTCCTTATTTTCAGCAGGTTTTGAGGCCCTGAGGTGCCTGCCTCACAAGGCTATGGGCAGGAGTGGTGGAAGCAATTGACATAAAAATGGTTCCTACACTGAAAGGCAACCAGTTCTGTCCCCCGTGGAGGGCAGGGCACCATGCCCCTAGCCTGCCTCCAAGCCCTTCTCTTTCAAGCCTCAGACCCCAACACCCTCACCCGCCCCACAAAGGGCTTACAGGCCTCCCCGTCCCCAGTGACCCTCTGTGCAAAGCTCTGAAAAGAAGCTGAGCCCAATTCGAGGGCAGATTCCAACCGCCCCCCCACACCCTGCCCCCACCGCCCCGGGGGCCGCCCTCACTGTGCAGAATGGCCAAGGCCAGGATGCCTCCAGTGCTGGTCCCCGCCACCCAGTCAAAGAGATCCTTGGTGGCGACGCCCGAGGCCTTCTCGATGGCAATGAGGAGCTGGATGATGATGAGGCCCTTCACGCCCCCTCCGTCCAGGCAGAGCAGGTGGTCGTGGCTGTGGTGGGGACAGCAGAGGGAGAGAAGAGGGCCCGTTAGAGCCCAGCTCCTTACGTGGGCCCGTGTCCCTGAGCATCTGTGACTGTGTGAGACAAGGCCCTGTGGAGCTCGTGCTCCTGGGCTTTTAGGGGTGTGTGTGGGGGCGGGGGGCAGGTAGGGGGAGCGCAGTCAGTAAGGAAATAAACATATAGTATTTCAGGAGGGGGAAAGTGCAGGAACAATGAAGGGAGCTGCCAGGTGTCACCTCCGCAGACACCTGGGTCTGTCTCTCCCATTGGGTTTTGGTCGGGCCCAGATTCCCAGTCGGGGGCCTGACCGGAAGCAGGTGCCTGAGAAAAGTCTGTCTGAATTAAACGAGGCTGGGGGAAGGGCTCTCCTGCAGCCAGGAACCGTGGTGGAGAGGGAGGAGGGGGGGCAGGGAGGAAGCACCATCTCTGTGCCAGGAGCTGTGAGGGGCTTTCACCCGCATGAATTCACTTAGATGTCCCACACCCCTCGGAGGCAGACGCTCCCTGCTACCCCTGTGCACGTCTGGGAAGGAGTGAAGCTCAGAGGTTAGGTGACCACCCAAAGTCACGAGATGGGGAAGCGATGTGGCCGGACCCAGACAGGGATGGGGGAAGGGGAGGGTCTGCTGACTCCTGAGTCACCTGCTGGGCAACACGACCCGACACGTCTCCCTCGGTCCTGCCGTGCCCAGCTCCCTGCCCTAAGGCTTCCACTGTCTGTGCTCAGACTAGGAAGCTTCCGTCTGGTCTCCTCAGCCTTCCATCTCAGCGTAAATGTCACCGCCCGGAGAAGCCTGCTCTGATGCCATTAGCACCCTCCGGCTCAGCCGGCTCCTTCTCCACCCACTTTCTCGCTGTAGAGCCCTTCTCCCTCCCACAAGCAGGCGGTTTTCCCTCCGTTCACTTTCTCCCCCAGTGGACGGGACAGAAGCTTCCAAGGGCAGGGACTGCCCTGCTCCCCACAGTGCTGCCTTTCCAGCGCACTCGGGAGGCGTCCGATGGACTAGCTGGTGAACGAAGGAGGCCCGGGTGGCCCACCTCTAGGGTCCTTCTTCTGGACAAGCTGCCCAGCCCCGCAGCAAGCCCAGAGTGTGGCAGGGGATGCTGGGCCGTCACTGGAGGCCTGCAGGGCCCATGACCAGGGAGGCCAGAGCAAAAACGCAAGAGACCCTTCGGAGGATGTGGGGCTTACAACGGAGACGTCAGCCCACAGGAAGCAAGGCTGAGCTACGAGGCTCGCAGCCTTTCGTGGGAAGGTCCCCACGGGGGTGTCCCGATTGTCGCCTCAGTCCCACCTCCAGGGAGAGTACTCAGGCTGCTGCAAACCATGTGAGTCCTGCTGGAGAATCTGCCTCCTCTGGTCTTACTGGTCGGGACGTTACCCTCCTCAGCCCCTGTGCAGGTGTGTGTGTGTGTGTGTGTGTGTGTGTGTGTGTGTGTGTGCGCGCGCGCGCGCACATGCAGGAAGTTCAGTGGGAGCAGAGAACTACAATGCTGATGCAGCAGGTGCACCCCCACGGGGCATGTTACAGGGTGGCCTTGGAAATAAGCAGGACTTACCAAGGGGAAGCCAACCCTTCAGGCAAGGGGAGGCAGAACCACTTGCCACTGCCTGGCCCTAGGAGCAGGGGCTGTGTCTGTGGACTGAGAGCTTGCCCTGCGGGGGCCGGCACTACTGAGGCAGCCGGGAGAGTGCCTGTGGCAGCAGAAAGGGCAGGAACTCAGGAGATGGGGACTAGAGTCTTGCTCCGACACTCATGGTGTGAGCTTGAGCAAGGCACTTCGCCTCCCGGGGACTCAGGCTCTGTCTGCACGAAACAAGGATCCTAATCCCTCCCTAGGAAAGCTGTTAGGGACGGTGGGACAGTCGCAAACGGAGAACAAGAAAGCAACTCTATGACGGAAAGGAAGACAGAGCGCAGTCGAGCCCACGCACGTTTGTGCTGGGAACTTGCTGTGCTGGCAGGCACCGCTTCTGAGGCCCCAGGGACCGCCCTCAAAGACAAAGGCCTCTGCTCTTTGTGCCCATCACGCAGGCCTGCCTCCAGGAACGGGCCTGGACGTACAGCAGGTGCTCGGGAAGTCCGCCCGGCCCACCAGCTCTGTGGAGGGAAGCAGGGCAGGGGCCAGGATGGAGCCAGAGGCAAGGAGGCTCAGCATCGCAGTGGGGATCTGGGTGACCTTCCCCAACAAACCAACACAAGGTCAGGAGGGACGGGACAGGCTTGCAGCCAGCTCTATCGTGTAACCCACAGCCCGCACGGTCCCTGATGAGAGAGCAGACCCAGGCTCTCCGAACACCCAGTTGTAGTTGGCTGTGAACTACAGAGGACGCAAGCCACCGCACAGGGCTGTGGTATGCGCTAGACAACAGCCCCGAGCCTGCCGGAGGGCACCAAACAGAGGCCTGGTGCATGCCTCCCTCCCCCACTTACGTCCGCTTCTCGTCCCTCATGGAGCTCAGGATGAACGCCGGCTTCCGGGCCCGGGAGATATGCATGATGTCCTGCAGTTCTGCGAGGCACAGGGCAGAGTGGGCTGGGGCCACGCAGGTGCCAAGCCCCCCTCACCCCCCAATCCCACGGGCCCTGAGCAAATCTGGAGCTGAGCCCTCACCCTGCTGGCCCTAGGGGGCGCACCTTGCCCCCTGCCACCAGGAAGGGCCCTTTGTCCCAAGACACAGCTGGGCCAGAGGCCACGGGCCCCTTGGGGTGAAACGGGCTGTGGCCCCCTGCCCTGGGAAGCATCCCTCCCCCCCCCCCCCCCGGCCACCTCCCAGACTCTCCGCGGTGCCTTCCTCCCAAAGCCCCAGAGCACAAGCACCCCTTCCGTGGCTGGTGTTTCCAGCTCACAGAGCCCTTTCTCATGCATCGGGCAAGTGGAGCTGCTGACAGCCACCGTCACCAGAATCCTTATTTCCAATTTACAGATGAGGCTCAAAGAGGCTACATAAACTCGTCCAAGGTCATTTAGCCAAAAGGAGTGAGTCAGGACACTCCTTTCGGTTTAAACCCATGAGCCAAGGGAGATAACCGACCACTCTTCAGAGGCTGCTCGTCCTGATCCCAGGTCTGGAACTTTCCTCAGCGGCCTCTCAGACCAGCCGCACCCACCCCTCTGCCCATGTTCTCCTCTGGGCCCGAGCCCGCCCCCCCCGGATGGACTGGCTGCCCTCCTGGCCAGCAGCCCGGCCCCGGGGGCCTGGCCCAGCACCGCCATGCCATCGGATTCTGACTGCCCTCCCCACCACTGTGCAGAGTCTAGAAGCAGCAAAGCAGGAAGGCAGGCTGCAAGGCAGTGTATCTACCCTCACCAGAGCGGGTGGCCAGAGGGTGGGCGAACCAAGCGGAGACCGGCCAGGAGAGGCAGTGGCCAGGGTGCCAGGGGGAGGGTGGCAAGAATGGCTCATGTGTTCGGGCAGGCAGCTGAGAAGAGGCCACTAGAGCTACAGCTAACTCGGGGCTGGGCAGGCTCTGCAGCCCCTCCAGGCCCAGGGCATTACCCATCGGACGCTGCGCCCCAGGCCCACCATCCAGCCTGGCGTGGGTGACTGCCTGCCTGTAAAATTGAGAGATAAAGATGGGGTTGGGAGGGGGGGCAGGTCCTAGACGGGGACGGGCAGGGGAGCGGAGAGGAGGAGCCAGGAGGACAAACTGTGGCCGCGGGCTCTGCTCTCCCGACTCCTGGCTAGGCTGGGCCATCCAGGCTACAGGCGCTGGTGTCTGCTTCCACAGAAGCGGGGAGAAAGGCCAGCTTGCCGAAGACTGGCTGCCGACAGCCCTATCCAGGGGACCCGGCTCTCACACAGTCTAGGCCGTGGCTGGGTCAGCCCACAGAAAGCCCAGAGACGGGACCCCATCTCCTTGGGGGCCATCTCCACGGGCACCAAGGTCACCTAGGGGCAGATGCAGGTTGCCTGGCCCTGTTCAAAAGCCTGTAGGTCACCAAAGGGCCAGCAGGGGACAGACACACGGGCCCCAGGCCTGACAGAGATACAGCAGCATGGCAGACACACTCCTCATTGAAGCCAGAGGGCCAGGGGTGCCGGACCCCAACAGCACTCCTCACCGCCCACCCTGAGCTCCCAGGGCACAAGAGGCCGAGACAGTCCTCACCCCAAAGGTGCCACGGGGACGCCCAGACCGGAGACCATGTTCAGGACATCGTCTCAGGAGAAATGGACTGCGGGCCATTAGCCAGGGGCCCCTCTCCCCCCAGGCCTCTGGGCCCCATGGGTGCTGGCTGCCTCCAGAGGCTGACGAATCCTGCCCCAACCTTCCTCGTTCCTTTCAACAACTTCTACCCTGGGCCCCGTTTCCTTCGGATCAGGACTGCTCCGATCCCAGTGCCTGGGGACCAGCTGGAGAGGAGGGAGTGTGGCAGGAAAGAGGCCTACCTAGGTTGTTTAAGCTGATCGGTGGGGGCTGAGATCTTTCCTGGGAGAACAAGGAGTGATGTGTCGCAGTGGAACACTGCTCCGAGGGGGCCCCTTGGGTGAGTGGGAGGCGGTGGTCGGCCCCTACATTTTTCAGCAGAGTTAAGAGCGTCTTCCTGGTGACAACTAGTAAGGTTTGGGGGAGGGGAGATCGCACAGGATCACAAATGATGTCAACAAGCAAGTGAGAGGCCCCTCCTTTCCACACACGGTCCCCTCTCTCATCTACCAGGCAGCCTGGGTATGTGGGGGAACCGGGCGCCCGGGAGGCCTGACCCCACCCTGACAGGGCGTGCTGACTCCAGTCGCCTGTAGCCCAATAGCTTCCTGGGGCCCAGGGCAGGTGCTGAGGTCGACCACAGAATCTGGAAAGGGGTCGAGGTTACCCGGTCTGGGTATTTGGGGTCCCCCTCTTTCCCTTCACTTCTGGTCAAGAAAACAGGACTCCCCCCTCCATACACACATCTCTACAAACTACCGTGAACAGTCAGAAATCAAAAATTTAAAAACAGTAAAAAACAAAACAAAACAAAAAACCATGACAATGGGGCGCCTGGGTGGCTCAGTCAGTTAAGAGTCCAGCTCGTGATTTGGGCCCACGTCATGATCTTGTGGTTTGTGGGATCGCGCCCCGTGTCGGGGCTGTACGTACGGCAATTCTCAAAACTGCCGAATGCCGAGTCCCTCCCAGGGCTCGAAAGGGACGAGCCAGTCCGTGGGCATTTACCCTCTTCTAACAGACAGGGTAACTAAAAAGGATGTTTTTAGGAAGTAGCACACACACAAGTGCGCACACACAGTCACCTGCACGCCCACAGCAGCCTCCACAGCTCCCTGAAACCCCCCGAGGGGGCCCGGGCTTCTGCTGAGGATGATCCTTCTCCAGCCCTGATGCCAGGGCTCACCAAGCGAGCATGCAGTGTGTGCCTCAAGCCCGCGTGCACACACACTCGTGTAGCGGGCATGCATCCACCCACCGTTCTTCCTGCGAGTGGCTCCATCCGGGAATTACTTACTGCCTCCCCCACCTGCCTCCCCCCGAGTCCTGGCACCCGGAGGTGGGATGAGGGCGGCACAGAAGAGGACACTGGCTTGGCAAGCCCCTTGGAGGGTCCCACCTACTGGGTATGGCCCTTGTGCTCGGGCACAGGAAGCTTCCCCTCTCTGCCTCCCAGATGCTCCTGGAAACCCCACGCAGGGAGCAAGTGGGGTGGGTACGGACAGGATGCTGGTGCCGGGCTGCTGGGACCACCCCTCCTCCCCAGTGCATGCATCACCACCACCACCCCCGCCCAACTCTGGGACGGGAGTGCAGGGCACTTACGTTTGCTGATCTTGGAAGCTATGAAAGCAGGAGTCTCTCCGAGGTCATTTGGGGTATCCACCTCTGCCCCAAACACAATGAGGGCCTTGATCATCTCCACGTTGTCTTTCTGTTGGGGATGAAGTGAGGGGAAAATCCAACGGCTCAGGGAAAGGAAGAGAAAAAGGACACCAGCCTCTTCCGCTCTGCCTACCGACTCGGCGGGCCTCTCACGGCACGGCAGAAGGTGCTAGAACCCTTCAGGTCCCCCACCCGTTTAATAACCCAGGCAGAAGCTGGAAGTGACTCACCCCAGGTGCCAGCCCCACCAGCTCCTGGAAGGAAGCAGTGCATCTATGACCCCCGCCCCAGGGGCCACGGGGCCACCGAAGGGTCAGCTGCTGATCACTTCCAGAAGCAGCAGCAAAGGGTGAGCGGGGAAAGGGAAGGCTGTCTTGTCCATCAGGTCTAGGGTGCCACTTCTGAGGAGGTAACTGGGCACACGTCCTCCCTGACGGCAACCTCCAAGGGCAGCTTGCCTCCAAAGCGCGTTGTGCATTTAACATCGGAGGCTGGGCGGGGCAGGGTGGGGCGTGGTTTCCCAGAACAAGCCAATCAACTGGCTGCCTGGAGACCGCGCTCTGGTCTTATCACCTCCCTCTTCCTGGGGCCTGATCTCCTGGCCTGGAGAATGAAGACTTGTGTCTAGAATGCAGTTTTCCAAATAGTGGTTCATGTACATTAGGATTTATATGGGCACTGGTGACTATGCATGCTTGAGTCATTAGTTATGCATTTCTGTTTTGGTTTCCTTCTTTTCGTGTCACTGGTTTACCCCTTACGGTGGCGACAGAACATCTCCTTTGAAATAAATTTAAGTAAGATTTAAAAGCAGGCCAACTTAGGGGCGCCTGGGCGGCTCAGCGGGTTAAGCGGCCGACTCTTGATTTCAGCTCAGGTCATGGTCTCACGGTTTGTGAGATCGCCCAGCATTGGGCTCTGCACCGACAGCGTGAAGCCTGCTCGGGATTCTCTCCCTCTTTCTCTCTGCCCCTTCCTGGCTGGTGCACACACGTGCTCTCACTCTCTCTAAAAAATAAATAAATAACAACTTTATAAAAATAAGTTAATAAAAGCAAACCAACTTAAAGAAACGATTAAGCACTAATTGTGCAAGTGACACATCAACGTGCCAAAAAATGTGAGGCCGGTCTGCAAGTTCCTGAGGTATGGGAACCAGTGAATGTCAGCAGTCCTCAAAGTGACACGTGTGCCCCCCCCCCCGCCCCTCACCGAACGTGTGAGACCCTCTAGAGGGTTTTGTGAGGTTCACACTGTTTTCACAGGGGCCTCTGGCTGGCTCAGTTGGAAGAATGTGCAGCTCTTGATCTTGGGGTTGTGAGTTTGAGCCCCAAGTTGGGCGTAGAGATTACTAAAAATAAATTAAAAAAAAAAACCTGCTTTCATAAGACTATCAAGATGGTGTTTGCTTCTTGCATTGTGTTGACTTTAGCACTGATGGCATAAAAACAATGATGGATAAAGCTCCTAGTGCCATAGCAAGACGGTGACACCGTTGTGGTGTTCTTCTCTGCCACTCACTAGCAGTAAAAAATCAACCAATTAACAGGCGCCTGGGTGGCTCAATAGGTTAAGCATCTCAGGTCACGATCTCATGGTCCCTGAGTTCGAGCCCCGCGTTGGGCTCTGTGCTGACAGCTCAGAACCTGGAGACTGCTTTGGATTCTGTATCTCCATTTCTCTGTGCCCCTCCCCTGCTTGCACTCTGTCTCTCTCTCTCTCTCTCAAAAATAAATAAAGACAGGGGCGCCTGGGTGGCGCAGTCGGTTAAGCGTCCGACTTCAGCCAGGTCACGATCTCGCGGTCCGGGAGTTTGAGCCCCGCGTCGGGCTCTGGGCTGATGGCTCAGAGCCTGGAGCCTGTTTCCGATTCTGTGTCTCCCTCTCTCTCTGCCCCTCCCCCGTTCATGCTCTGTCTCTCTCTGTCCCAAAAATAAATAAATGTTGAAAAAAAAATTAAAAAAAAAAATAAATAAATAAAGACATTTTTAAAAATCAGCCAATTAATTAAAAAGCCAGTGTCACTTTGGAATGCCCTTCATGAAGCAGTAAGAATGAATTTTATTACGATTTGACATCGTGTCCTTGTGTTGTAAGATAGAGAGAAAGCCTGGGCATTTCTGTGGCATACCAGAGTACAACTGTTATCTTGAGGAAAAGCACGTCGGCAATTTGCTGGAGTTGTGAGCAGAAGCACGCGTTTTTTTTCCCCGGGAACACCATTTTCATTTGAGACCATGACTGACAAACTACGATTGTTCAGCCTTGGGTATCCAGAAGACGTGTTCTCAAAAATGAACGCAGTGAGCCTGGCACTTCAAGAAAAACATCTGACGATATTTTGTGCCAACGACAAAATTCAAGCTTGCAAACAAAAATGGCAATTCCAGAAAACTTGTATATGCCACACGTGGGCTTGACAGCTTTGACGGCTTCCCCAAACTGAAAGGTTTTTCCGATGAGATCAGTGGGGATATTTACAAATGTGGGGTTTTGCTAGCGTCTGATGAAATGGGTCGCCGTTTCTACGCATACATGGTGAACCGGTATTTTCCAAGGAAATTACGCATGGGTAAGAGATCCATGCCAAGTGCAAGAGATACCAGTGGAATAAAGTGTTTAATGTAACAAAGTGTGAAAAGCTCCTGGAGATGGCTGCTCTGCCCACTGCAACTGACTTGTCAGAAACTACCCTTGTCCAGTTTTGGTGCAACATCAAAGAATATCCATGATTCTCTGAAAAGGTGCAACTGTGTATCTTTTCCAACATAGCATTGGGAGGCCAGATTTTCTTCTTATCTCCCAACATATATTCAACAACGTATTGCAAGAGAATAAATGTAGCAGAAGATAGGAGGCTCAGTATGTCTTCTATGAGGCCAGGCAATAAAAAGATTCACAAAGATGGAAAAGGATGCTAACTCTTCTGGATTGTTTTTTGTTTTGGAAAATAAAGTTGTTTTGCATAAAAATGTTATTTAATTTGGCTAGCTTGTGATTGGTGAATTGTTATTTTTAAATGAATCGATATTTTGAGAGGGACCTGGGTGGCTCAGTCCGGTAAGCGTCTGACTTCGGCTCAGGTCATGATCTCACAGTTCGTGAGTTCGAACCCTGTGTTGGGCCCTGTGCTGACAGCTCAGAGCCTGGAGCCTACTTGGGATTCTGTGCCTCCCCCTCTTTCTCTGTCCTTCTCCCACTCATGCTCTGTCCCTCTCTCAAAAATAAACATTAAAAAAATTTTTTTAGTAAGTGAATTAATATTTTGAAAATGTCTCATGTTTAAACTCCAATCTAATAAATATAGATAGATAAAATCCATATAAACAAAAACATCTTTGGGCTCTTCAATAATTAATTTTTAACACTATAAAGGGACCACATAGACCCAAAATTTTGAGAACTGATGGACTAGATCATTCTAATGGCTCATTCAGTGCTGAAAATGGCCATGGTTTCATTTACAGTTTCCACCTCCCAGGGTAATAGTGTCTCCACCACAGTGATGGCCTTTGCTATAAAACAGGATGTCTTTGAGTTTGCCCTAAATCTACATCTTTAAAAATTTTTTTTAACATTTACTTATTTTTGAGAGACTGAGAGAGAGACAGAGCATGAGCAGGGGAGGGGCAGAGAGAGAGGGAGACACAGAATCCGAAGCAGGCTCCAGGCTCTGAGCTGTCAGCACGGAGCCCGACGCGGGGCTCGAACCCACGAACCGTGAGATCATGACCTGAGCCGAAGTTGGACGCTTTACCAACTGAGCCACCCAGGTGCCCCAAATCTACTTTTAGAGTCCCAGATGCCTCTCCAACTCCATCACTTGGAAATCTGTTGAACATACTTATGTATACACGGTATTGGTACAGAATGGGAATACACACACATCCGTAACGTAGTAAGAGTCCCTTCCCTGATTTCCTTATGTTCATACTCCAGTTGTCTATCCAGACTGGAGGGGGAAACTCTGCTCTATGATAAACCAAAAGCCGCGGCCAACACCTACCATGGGCCACGGAGATGTACAAGCAGACCCTGCCTCCCAGGAGCTTACAGCCCCCCCCAAGGAGATAGAAACAGTATGCAGACGGGTATTTCTCCCTGATGCAGGAGAGGAGAAGTGACATCTGAGGGTTGCCCACTGGTGCTAGGTACCACATGTGTCGTCTGGACATTCCTCCTGGGGTTACCGAGCATCCACCGCTCACTCCGCAGCCAGTACCGACACCCCGGTTTCCGGATGAGGAAATCGAGGCTGACAGACGTGACGTGACTTGCCCAAGGCCACGGCGGGTAGCCAGAGCCATCGCACCATGCACTCGTCACATGGGGGACGCGGGAGCCAGAGGGACAGGGGCATAGAGGAAGGAGACGACACTCTGGGCTGAAAGGGGGACACGGAAGGTTCCTAAGGGGGAAGGCAGGTCTGAATGGAGTGTAGGCAGGTAAGAAGATTCTGAGGGGCGGGGAAAGGGGGAAAGGAAGAAGGTGTCACGGGAGGGAGCGACGGGTAGCCCCCCACCCACCCCTGCAGGCTCACCGACATGGCCAAGTGCAGCGGCGTGTTGCCGTGCTCTCCGCGGGCGTTGGCGTTGGCCCCGTAGGTCAGCAAAGCCATGACACAGTCCAAGCGGTTGCGCATGACGGCCACATGCAGGGCTGTGTTCCCCGAGCGGCTGGTGCCGTTCACGTCGCAGCCCCGCTTCAGCAGCATGCGGGCCATCTGCGGGAGAAAGGGTCCGCGCCCAAGGAGGCGGTCACTAAGGGCAGCAGGGGCCGGCGACACCTGGGGGCTGCCACCGCCGCCCTGAGCGGCCATCAGGTATCGGGCCTCCGGAAAGCACTAGCAACAAGAACTCAGGTGGCAGGCCCCAGTTCTGGGGGTGGCCCTACATCTTGGCTCCCACATCATCAGCAGGACGCTAGAGGACAAAGAGCTGATTTGTGCTGGCTGATTTAAGGAGCTCCCGGGTCCTTTCTTGGAACTAACGGGACCCCACGCATCTCAGCAAAGTCCCACAACTTGCCCTGCTCCCTGTGACCTTCCCTGGGATCCTGCCAAAGTCTGGCCACTCCCTGGGCCTTGGCGACACCCGCCCCTGCACGCCCCACAGCCCTGGGGAGCCTGGGACACGGGGAGGTGCGTGGCCTTGGGAGCCTGGGACCTGGGGAGGGGCGTGGCCTTTGGAGCTGGACAGTCCTGAGCCCACAGCTCAGCCTTACTTCCTCCCAGCCCTGGGAGCTTGGGTAGGCCGTCACACCCTCTGGACCTCAGTTTTCTATGGCAATAGAAATGCAAGTCCCTACCTCACAGAGGGGTGACAACGAATGACAACTCGTACACTCGAACACGAAAGGCCGGACTTGGCCTCTAGCTCAGGGCAGGGAGGAGGTACCCTGCAGAAGTTGGCAATCTCCTCCCTCCTGGCCCGTCACAACGGACCACAATCTCTGGGGCATCCAGGGCCCTGTTGAGCTGTGTTTCCTGGAGGTGAGGGACCAGAGGCCTCCACCCTCCCAGGGGCATGGAGCTTGGCTTAGGGGCGGCCTGTGGAATCACTGCGCCACCAGGCTCTCTGTGGGCACAGCCAGTACCAGCACCAACTTCTGTTTGGCACTTTATGAAGCCTTTTCTCACACGTCACCTCGCTGATTTCACGCCTCCAAAGCCAGGCCATAGGACCCCCAATTCATACACAAAGAACCCACAGACAGGGCCCTGAGCCTGCGAGCAGCAAAGCCTGCGGGACCACTATGAGATCAACCCCCCAGAATCATCTCAGGGACCTCCTTCCCGCAGGCAGCTGAGGAACATGGGGCCCTGGGACCCTGCCCCCTGCCCCCTCCCCCCCACCACTCACCCTCAGACTCTGCCTACCTCTGCGTTCTTGGCCCAGTGGAGGGGGCTGGCTCCATAGCGAGGGTCTTTGCTGTGGATCTGGCTGCTGTCCATGCTGATGATCATTTCAGCACACCTAGGGGGAAAAGGAGCCAAGGGGCAGTATAGAAGGCCATGGGACGGTGGGAGGTGGCCCGGGGATGGTGGGAGGTGGCCCGGGGATGGCTGGAAAAGGCCACGACTTGGGGGCTTCAACCACTGGGGAAGAAGAGTTTCTGCAAATAAAGTTGCAACAAAACCAACCAGCACGTGTACTGTGGTATGTCCAGGGTATCCTGAGCCCCTATACACAGCTCCAGCCCCCGCCTCCAGGAAGCCTTCCCTGATAGCAGCAATCGGCCATGATCACTCTCACTGGTGCTGGCTTTAGGGTCAAGCCCCAGCCTCCTCCCTGGTGATCTCTGGAAAGTGGCTGAGGCCGTCTGCAACACGGGCGCGGTCCTAGCCGGACTCGTGGGGGTTGAGGGAGAGAAGACATTTCATTTCTGCGCCTGGCACGCGGTCGCCCTCCATCCCCTGGCCCTCCCTCCGCTCCTGCTGTTTCACGCAGTGACCTGCGTCCTGCGGGAAGCACAGGCACAGCAATTAAGGCTGCAGCGACTCCCCACTCCCGGGTGTACAGCCAAAGGAACAGAAAGCAGGGACTCAGACAGATACTCGTCCCCCCACATTCCTAGCAACACTGGCCAAAAGGGGAGACAACCCAAGTGCCCGTCAACAGATGGAGGGGAAAACAAAATGTGGTCCGTCCGTATATTACTCTGCCTTAAAAGGGCAGGGAATTCTGATACGTGCTACAACACTAATGACCCTTGAAGACAGCTGGCAAAGTGAAAAGTCGAGTCCCTGGCCCCAACCTGGCTCTGTGAAGGTCAGCCGAGTTGACGCTAACAGCGGAGGGGCTCCCAGATGGGAGCGGGGACGGAACCCCTCTCTGTGGCCCTGACACCTGTGATCGCTGCCACCAGCTGCCGCGCGGTGGCAGAGGGATGGCCCCGCCGGGGCCCTGGGAGGACGCGGCTGTGGCAGGAGTCGGGCACGCCCGAGGTGTGAGGCCCCCTGCGTCGTCTAATGTGCGACGACCCTTTGCGATCTCTGCCAGCCCCACAGGGGAGGCCTGGCAGGGGAGAGAGGAACGCGGCTAGGGGTGTCCAAGGAAGGCACAACGTGGGCAATTCCAGGCCCCTGGACAGCAAGGCTTGGGGAGGCTGAGCTGAGCAAGAGGGAGGCCGCCATGCTACGTCTCAGCTATGACACGGCATCACCCACCACCCGTGCCCGTTCCAGATGCAACCTGCCCCCGGGGAACCTGACCCCTGGGGGTGAGGTGTCAGCACTGTCTCCAACCGTTTGGTCAGGTCGTTCTGGAAGCTCTCCATCTTGGCTGTGCCGGGGAGCACATGGCAAGGGGGGCTGGCCCCAGCTCGGACCAGACCTTTGAGGGGATGGCGTCGCCAGAGGGGCCGGCACGGTGGGGGCAGACTCCAGAAGAGGAAGAGCCCGAGGGACAGCCAGGCTTGCCCCCGCCCCCATGTGCGTGCAGCCCTCTCTCCTCTTCCCCCTGCCTGTTTAGCACAGCCCAGAAGGACCGGGTGGCCTCTGCGTCTCCTGTCCCAGAGCTGCTTTCTTTTCTGTCTAAGGCCAGCGCCTAGCACAGTGTCCGGACTGTGGGACCGACTGCCTCGTTCATTCATTCAGTCAGCCATTCCAGACAGCGTTCCCACTGGGCCACATTTTAAGATATTCCTCTCTTTTCTCACCCCCCCCCCCCCACGCATACACACATACCCACACTCCACATGGAGAATCTTCCCGAGAACAGGGTTTCCCAGGTCTCGGGAGAAGGGAAGAAGCCCCAGATTGGTCTGGGGCTCCCCACGGCATGCGCCTGGTACCTGCCTCCCAACGGTGCCACCAGCCAGGAAAGATTGGGCAGATGGGGCTCTGGGCCACCTTGCCAAGCATTCCTGGGCCTTGAGCCAGGAAGCTGCAGAAGCCACAGGGCAGCACTGTAGCCAGGAAGGGGTTCGGATCGGGCTGGTGGGCTTGGGTGCAAGAGGACCCAGGTCGGGTGGGCCCCTCCCTGGGGCTGCGTGTGACTCCAGCCCAGGAGGACCACCTGGGGGAGGTGGAAAGGGGAGGAGCCCCGGGGAGGATTTGGATCGTTCTTCTCCAGTTTGGGAGAGGGAGGTTCGTGGCCAGAAATTAAGGTGCGTTACGGAAAACATCTGAAAGCTCTGCTCTTTGCACAGCTGACTTTCTGGATGGAGATTCACACCTGCTACACGTTCATTGAGCACTCTGTTCCTGCCAGGCCGGCCCTGGGCACCAGCATCTGATACACATCTAATGAGCCTGGGGAAGCCACTGCTCACTTGGGCGTGAGGACAAGAGATGTCAGAGCTAGAGAGCCAGCCAACGGGGCGGGGGGGGGGGGGGCCGGCCTTACCCCTTATGGGAGAACTTCATGGCTGCGTGGATGGGGTAGCCATTGGGCCCCACGATGTTGCACCGAGCGTTACAGAGTAACAGTACTCGGACCATCTCTTCCTTCCCCATCTGGCAGGCCAGGTGCAGTGGGGTCTGCCCTTGGTTGTTCACCTGGTTCAGGCCGGCCGATGCGTTCTTCCCTAGGAGCTGACAGAGGGACACTGGGGTGGGCTGGGGCCTGACAGAGGCAAGCCCCCTGCGTGACCCTCCCCAACGCCCTCCGGGCCAACCCCCTCCGCCGAGACTTGAGGGGAAGGGAAGTCTGCCGATGAGATAACACGGGTAGGATTATAACCCGGGTAGGAACGTTAAGGGAAGCCCCGGAGAAAGGAGGTTTGGAGGCAAACAGGAAGCTGTCTGTGCCAGCCGGCTAGGGGGCTGGGCCGCCATTGCTGTGGCTTGTGGGAAAAATTCCTGGGGGTGCCTGGATGGCTCAATCGGCTGGGTGTCCGACTTCGGCTCAGGTCACGATCGCACAGTTCGCGGGTTCGAGCCCCACGTCGGGCTCCGTGCTGACGGCTCGGAGCCTGGAGCCTGCTTTGCATTCTGTGTCTCCCTCTCTCTCTGCCCCTCCCCTGCTTGCACTCTGTCTCTGTCTCTCTCTCTCTCTGTCTCTCAAAAGTCAATGAACATTAAAAAAATTAAATAAAAAATTTTTTCTGAATTAAGAAACTTAAAAGGGGGTTGTTCCCAGGGATGGGCACTGGAGATCTGGTCCCACCGGACCATGAGCCCCTCCAGGAAAGGCTGAAATGAATTCACCCAGCCCAGGGTCAGGCTCGGTGGGTGCTTGGGACAAGCTGAACTAAACTGACTGGCTGGACTGGACCTCTGATTTCATTTCCTGGGTTGGAGGACCTCCCGAGGGTGGTCAGAGTACAGTGACCAAGGATGTGTCTCTCCTTGGCGAGCAGGAGGAGGGAAGGGAGGAGAAGGTACACCCTCCAGGAAGGAGCTCGGGGCCAAGTGGGGACAGTGGGGTGTGGCCAGCACCGATCACCCCTGCTCACCTGCAGCACCTGGGAATTGTCCCCCTGGACGGCGTAATGAAAGGCAGTCTCTCCATTGTTGTCTGTGACGTCCATCTGGACATGGCAGTACTGTACCAGCTCCGCCAGGATCTCCCCGTCGCCCTTGCGGCAGGCCAGGTGCAGGGGGGTACAGCCCTCCTCATTCTCCCTGCTATTGGCACAGCTGTGGGGGGGGGGGGGGGGGGGGGGGGGAGGGGGGAGGGGGGCTGAGAAACTCAAGTGCAGAAGAGGGAAGTGGGCTTGGAGCTCAGGGGCATTCACGCCACGCTCAGGCTGCCTGGTTCAAACCACTTATTTGTGGCTGACATGATCTTATCAGCTGTTCAGTGGCACATCCGTACGAGACACGCGTCCTAGGCCCACGCCAGCCTGAAGTGGGAGGCAGGCAGGGTGGGGTAGAGAGGGTCGGAAGGCAGAAATCTCATTAACCTCGGGCAACTGGCTTAATCTCTCGGGGCTTCAATATCCTTATCTACGAAAAGATAACAATAATAGCAGCTGCGCCCGCCCTAGGAAATGGACAGAAGCACTGGGAAGTGAAACACCATGATGGTGTGCAAGAACAGGTCCGTAGGCTGTAAAGGGCAGTGAGGAGTTTTGAGCCTAGGGCCTGGGAGCTGAAACGAGCTGCGGTCACCTCAGGGCAAGCAGGCTAGCCGGAGTCCTGCGGCGGGGCCCACATGGTCCCTCTTGGGGGTCACTTCCACTGACGGAAGTGTTGGCTGAGGGGCCATATGCAAGAAAGCGGTCCAGCCACCAGGAGGCACCCGGATCCTTGGAAGGAGATGCAAGGATCTGAGGCCTCTTCGGCCGTCTCCAGCGGACTGACCTTGCACGGGCCACATAGTCTCTTGGGGGGATGATGACCCTTCATGCGGGTATTGGAAGGACTCAAGTTCATGGTGGTTATAACACACCAGGTGGGCCTGGCACCCGTCGGGCCCTACGTTTCTCCTTCTGGCTTCAGTCCGGCGTTCGTATACTCCCCACTCAGAGGCAACACCGACCCGCAGAGGGGAACTGAGGCAGGGCTGAGAGACTCCCCGGACCCGCCCGTCCACACACACAGACCCGGGGACCTTCCTGAGGGTCCGGCCCTCCTGGCCCACCTGATGATGTGGCTGTGATGGAAGCACTCTCGGATGCCCAACTCCACCGCCAAATGGGCCGCCGACCAGCTGGGATGGCTGCGGATGAGGTCGGTCAGCTGTTGCAGGGCCTCGACGTGCAGGACTTGGCTGGAGCTCTCGTAGAAGGGCGGCAGCTGGATAGAATAGTGCTGGAAGTTCACGAGCGCGTCCGTCTCCCTCTCCAGCTGGAAGAGTCTGTGGAGCCAGGGCACAGGAGGACGACACAGAAATGAGCCAGCCTCAGCCCACACCCTCGCTGGAGTCAGAAGCCCTGGGTCCCCACGGACGGCTCACTGCCTGCCTCTGGCTGTGCACCGACCTGTTCCAGCTGGACTCCCCTCTCCACCACGCACACGTGCACACGCATAAATGCACACACCTCTAAATAGAGTCAGGATTTTCTTTCTTTTCTTTTTTCTTTTCTTTTCTTTTCTTTTCTTTTCTTTTCTTTTCTTTTCTTTTCTTTTCTTTCTCTCTCTCTCTCTCTCTCTCTCTCTTTCTTTCTTTCTTTCTTTCTTATGTTTTATTCATTTTTGAGACAAAGAGAGACAGAGCATGAGCAGGGGAGGGGCAGAGAGAGAGGGAGACACAGAATCCGAAGCAGGCTCCAGGCTCTGAACTGTCCGCACAGAGCCCGACACGGGGCTCGATCTCACAAACCGCGAGATCATGACCTGAGCTGAATTCAGACACTTACCTGACTGAGCCACCCGAGCGCCCCAAACCCCTGCCACTGTTCTAAATGGAGGGGTAAGTTAATGAACGAAACAGATGACATGGCCTGCCTTCCCGGAGCCCATGTTTTTGTGGGCGAGATCAACACAATGAGTAAGGTAAAAATCAAAATAAGAAAGTACATTAAACAAACTGCCGCGGAATGAGTGCTATAGAAAAAACAAAGAAGAGAGGACAAGGAAGGAAGTTATTCCTCATTCTCCTCGGCTCCTCTGTTTCATCCTGCCAACCTCTTAACATCAGCGTGCTCCACGTTAAATGCTGTTGCTCTGTCGGGTATAATGACACGAAATGACAACTAGAAATGACACTGAAAATTGGGGCGCCTGGGTGGCTCAGTCGGTTGAGCGGCCGACTTCGGCTCAGGTCATGATCTCGCGGTCCGTGAGTTCGAGCCCCGCGTCGGGCTCTGTGCTGACCGCTCAGAGCCTGGATCTCTTTCAGATTCTGTGTCGCCCTCTCTCTGACCCTCCCCTGTTCATGCTCTGTCTCTCCCCGTCTCAAAAATAAATTAAAATGTTAAAAAAAAAAAAAAGAAAAGAAATGACACTGAAAATTGATCATTGGGCTTAGCATCTATTGACGACTTTGACAAGACACTTTAGGTGGAAAGCAGAGCCTGACTCGAATGGTTTAAGAAGGAATAGAATGGAAGAAACTGGAGAAGTACAGACAGTATGTTGGAGGGGTTTTGCTGTAGAGGGGAGCAAGCAGAGGTAGCTAACGGGGAAGGTGGAAGCAGGCATTTGAATTCCGGTGAGAAGAACCCAAAAGAAAACAGGATCTCTCTGAGGCCTTCCACTCCCACAGCAGACTAGGTCATGTGAACAGGAGCGCCTCCTCGGGACAACCAGAAATGCGCGACAAAATATTAGAGGCCATCTGCTTGAGGCGCTGGATACCTAAGTAGACTGGGATGAAGTGCCAGGCTGGACGGATTACGGAAATCTAGGAAGTGAGCCTGGTGTTGAAGGCTGCTGTCACTTGAGAGGCCGGAGGGATACACCGTAGCATTGACAACCTCGTGGGCTCGGGGGACAGGGACCGGAGGCCAGGGGCGGGCCACCTCTTACCGTGGGTGGGCACCCTGAAGGGCTAATGCTACCAGGTACCTGGGAGAAGCAAACATAAAAGAAACAGAAAGCCAGGGGCGCCTGGGTGGCGCAGTCGGTTAAGCGTCCGACTTCAGCCAGGTCACGATCTCGCGGTCCGGGAGTTCGAGCCCCGCGTCGGGCTCTGGGCTGATGGCTCAGAGCCTGGAGCCTGTTTCCGATTCTGTGTCTCCCTCTCTCTCTGCCCCTCCCCCGTTCATGCTCCGTCTCTCTCTGTCCCAAAAATGAATAAACGTTCAAAAAAAAGAAAATTAAAAAAAAAAGAAACAGAAGGCCAGGCTTCGGGGCACCTCGGTGGCTCAGTTGGTTAGGTGTCCGACTTAGGCTCAGGTCATGATCTCATGGGTTCGAGCCCCGTGTTGGGCTCTGTGCTGACAGCTCAGAGCCTGGAGCCTGCTTTGGAATCTGTGGCTCCGTCTCTCTCTCTGTCCCTCCCCCACTCATGCTCTCTCTCTCTGTCTCTCAAAAAATAAATAAACGTTAAAAAAATTAAAAATACATCAATAAAA